CCCCTTGTGACTCATGACGTCATGCGCGTGCACAGAACCAAGCAAGTCATGACGTCATCCGACGATTCAATGTACAGAATCATCGGTTCTTCTCTAGAACCGAGCGATTCCCGATTTTACAAAAGAATCGACACGGGATGACCGATTCCGTACCGACTCGGTAATTTTTAAACACTGCCTTGCACTATAGTGATATGTGCTTGACTTGCTCTTAAAGAGGGGGAGGGGAGACCCATAATCCACATTTCATAATTGTGTTTCCACTATTTATTGACCACATTGACGAGCCAATCATGTGCCCCTGCAAGAGATTGTGGGTCATGATTCTCGTTGATTCGGTTTGAGAAGATAGTTGAGAATCACGATTACCCAATTATGGAGTGCCCTGGCATTCACTTATCTTGAACCATCATTACCAACCAACTTTAAATATTTTATTTTCAGTGCGAGAAATGTTCATGTGAATTTAAGAAATTTTTTAGAATTTTTAAAATCAATTTCAGCAGTAAATTCCTTGAAAAGGGTATTTCTGAAATTCAAATTGTGTAGGGGGGGCAGGCAAATGAGGGGTCCTTGGATCCAAACCCATGTGTGCCACACCACATGGGTTGGGCGTGGAGCCTATGGGGGGGCCACACCTTACTCATGAGGTAGCACGCCCTCTCTCTCTATTTTATTTCTTATCTTATAAAAACGTGTTCTATTAAGTTAGTTAAGATAATCTTTTTTGAAAAAGGTTGTCCTTATTTCTAGGAGTTGTAAATATTTTGTTTGGACTAAATTTTTATCTTTTTGACTTCCTACAATTTTGTTTAAGATAAAGGAAGTTCTAGAAGGTTCTCTAGATTAGTCTTACTTAGTTTGACTAGAAGTGAATATGGGTCAAAGATTCGGGGATAAGGTGTTTAATATTCCTCCCTAAATCATGATGGTTGATTCAAGGGATGGATGACTCGGATGTTTTTCTCTCTCACCTCACAGATTTCCCAAAATCCTATTGGTAATGGTGAGTCATAATTGGAAATGCATACATAAGGGGTCCTTAAGGCCTACATAAGGTGATGAACCCCCTCTCTTTCACGACACAATTTCCTAGCCTCTCTCTCTCTCTCTCAACTTTGTAGTTCTATCTTCTCTCTCTCTCTCTAGGTGGCACGCCACCCCCATAAAGAACAAAGGGTGGCTCGCACCCACCTAGTTAGGGTTTGTAGAGGGAGGCACACCCAACCATAATCAGTAGGGATGCATCTGTGGCATGCCCTAAGTGTTTCTAAAAAGGGTTAAAAATCCTAACAGCGTTATGCTCTCGTAAGAAACCCTAGTTTGTGAGGTATCGCCTATAGAAGCTTTCCGGCTTAGAAAATTCAGCTAAGCCAATAGGATTGGAGTGCGCCATGGTCAGGAAATCAGGTTTGGGAGTACTAAAAGTCCTATAGAGGTGACCGCAGGCACACTCAAGCAAGTCTTCCTAGCTGTTTGTTATATTTTTCAATCACATTTGCATATTTATTCTGAATTTTTAGGAACATTTTTTGTACTTAAATTGTTAGCAGAAGTTTGTTTTCCATTCCTTGATTGTGTTTATTGTGTTTTCTTATTTACAGCAGTGTATTGTGGCTTGTAAGTAGAATTCAGAATTATTAATTAAAAAAGGAGAGAATTTTTTTTATTATTATTGCCTTGAATTCTACATAGCCACTTTTTTCATCACCCATACCTAATACCAGATTGTGGGTTTAAATCCGAAAACCCACATTCCTTTTTCCAACATAAGGGACAAGATGGGCATGTCATATTCAGGTACATTAGAGATGGCGTGTTGACATGTCATATCAGAGCTTAGGCACTGCTGACATGTACTGGTCATGCGTCAAAAGGCTCACAAAGTGTCAGGGCCAGGGTGTGTCACTATGTCGTGTGTTTGACACATGAAATCAAGCAACAAGGTGTTATGTAGCACTGCTGGTGACTGCATGCTGGTATGCCATACCACATACCTAATGTGTCATGTTGACTAAAAGTAACATAAATCAGTTGATCCAATAATCAAGGATACAAGTCAATGTTCTTTTCCAACCCCTAAATCTGGTCGAAAATTAAAATTATAAGGGAGTCAACTGGCTTGGAGGCATCCAAATTCTCAGACATGAATCAAATTATCACTGACATCAGTAAACAACTTCTTCACATGCCAAGAGTCAGCTTTGAGTTAGCCCCAAGTGATGCTGTAGAAAGAAATGGAACCCCTTCCTCTGAATACAGAACTACTGTCACAATGATCAGCCTCCCCATTCCAGCCGAATTACATCTAGCCTACTGGATAATGTTTTAAGGGAGTCCCCTACAACCAATACAGCCCCAAGGCAGAACTCAGCAAAATCAAGAGGCCAGTTAAGTATAGGTCTCGGGCATCTATCAAATCCCACTGACTGATTGGTCTGGAGGGGTTGGACAAGAGTCATCCCAGACCAATCTTTTAAAAGATCCCTGATATATGAGGGGGCTCTGGATTCCCCTGACTAAATATAAACTTCGAGAAGCCAAACAAGGGAGAGGACAAACAGGTCATTGATCTAGTTTGCCTAAAGGACTTGTGAATCAACATTCATCACGAGCTAACTACGATAAAGGTCAAGACATTCTAAGATCAAGTGGTACAACCCAAGTCTAACAGATCCAATTGTGCACTATAGAACAAAAATAATACACATTTAAGAATCACTTTTCCACTTATGCCCCGAAAAATGGCGAACAAATACATCTTCCAGAGAAGACAACCATCTTGAGCATTAACTAGTTAGCAACTGATCATGGATAGCAAGCTAACTGAAGGCTTGGACCTTAAGAGGAAAAAGCGCAAACCAAATATGAATAGTAAGACACCGCAAAAGACCATAAGCCACTCTAGCAATACCCCAATAATTTCCCCACCCAAACAAATGTATCATTTCCTAACTAACATTTTCGCAATATTCAGAGGGATGAAGATAGGCTCGGTTTTGATCATGCAAGAATCTGATCCTTCCTTCCATCCCGAGCCAGATTAGCACACCTATGTTCTAATATTCAATCTGCGGACGAGTATGGGTAATCGACACCCTTCTGGAAGAGAAAGAAACCTCGCTAGGCCAGGGAGACCTAACGGAATGATCAAAAGGTATTGATGAATCTGACAGTAGGGCAGGGAAAGCGGTGGACGGAATCTAACTTAAACCAACACTCAATGAGATGACACCACTGAACAAACAACGTCTCCAAAAACATTCCTCAAAGACGTGTGCCAAATAATTCCCTCCAACAAGATCATAACAGTCACTGAATGCGGCATAAGCAGATGGGGTAATATATCACAAGATCTAAGCAATCCCGAATACCACACCACATATCTGCAAGGAACCAACACTAATCCCCTCCCCAACTGTAAAGCTAATATCCTCCCTAAAAGTTAAAGCGATGAACTAGATTGCCCTGGATGTAGCATACACCCTGTCATACCTAACCCAAGTTCTCGGATGCAAACACAAGGAGCCTCCCCATATTTGCACCCAACTTTTGCCAAAGAGAACCTTGATCTGCTGACATTATCAATTTCAATTAAGCAGAAAGCCCTTATCTGAGTCACTAAGGTGCCTGATGCACAGGCCTCCTCTCGATCTCAGCTTTCACAAACAAGCAAGTGTCCCGGTTTCACATAGACAACAAAACAAAAACCAAGCAGCAGGAGAAGAACTATGGAGAAAGATCATCTTTCATCACGACAGTACATCCACTTTATGGCTGCGTACAATTACAAAGGGTTTCTGATTGCCATTGAAGTTAATTACACAAACACAAAAAAGTACACATATTCCAGAAGTACCACTCTAAATTTAAGAACAAACATAGGAAAGAAGTACGGAATCCCTCCCGTGTTCCTACCTTGCATGAACACCAATACGGTTTGAATGAAGAAACGTATTAGAGTGGATACAATTTGTGTAATAAAACATATATCAATGTTTATTTCCTTTGAGATTTAATTTAATTTTTATAACAGTAAAATTTTCAATTAGACTATGAAAAAGAAAATAGGAATATTGAGCAGATGTCATCATCATCATCAGAACCTTTTCCCAACTATTTGGGATCGGCTATCCAAATCCTAGTCTGCCACTCTGCTCTATCATGGGCCATACCTTCAATGAGGTCATAAGCTCCTATATCTTTTCTCACCACTTCCAACCATGCCCTTTTGCGCCTACCCCTTGCCCATTTTGAGCCTTCCACTTGAACCAACTCACACCTCTTAACAAGTGTTGTACTAGGTCTGCAGTGCATATGGCCAGCCACCTAAGTCTACTTCCTCTCGTCTTATCGCCTATCGAGGAGATGTCAATATGTGAAATTAATTAGTGTATGTGTCCCATTCTACAACAGTATTGTGTATACACCACGTTGCAGTTTCACGCAGATGTTTCTTCAAGTTTTCTCAATTTACACTCAGCATATCTCATAGATATATCATAAGGAAATACTTAACCAGGGTGTACAAATAACAACATCACTAGGAAGGGAATTGTGAACTGGCCTTGAATAGCTATCATGTTGACAGTTGCAACACCACATCTTGAGTTTAAATATCACAGCTAACCATTCGGTATAGATGAATACTTGCATTACCCATTAGAAACATTAGCAGTATGACTGCACCTCATAAGTTATAATTTTGGGACCCATAATTATTTGCTAATAGGCACCTTCAACCTTACGCTTCACATTCTTAATGCAAAAAAGAAAAACGAACACTATTGAAGCAGCCAAGATGTGACTACAGTGAAAAGTGAATACAAGACATGTTAGACATTGACTTTTCCCAACAAAGTTAATCATGGCACCATTGGCCAGTCAATGCAGGAGAAAACAAGCAGTTCTGTATGCAAAGAAAACACAATCCAGCTCCTGCATGACGAAAACACACATCAGCATTAGATGCACACATGGAAGAACTAGATGTAACTTACATCTGCAGAGAGTGGATCAAATAGCTCCACGCCAGCGATGTCTAGAGAATGGCAAGCAGCTAAAACACCCCCACATCCTGCATGAACCATAGAAGGCCCACATGAAAATCCACGCCTCCGCTGTTCCTCGAATGCAAGCCATCCAAAGGGCCCATCCCCATAATCTGCATCAAGCGATAGATCCACGAATGCAGTAGCTTGCTGCACCAACAACCCCATTGCATCAAGCAGCTCCTGAAGAGGTTGTTTCTGTCCATAAAAGCTAGCACCATCTTCTTCATAAGCATTGATCGGAAGAGAAGAGCTGTCAAATTTTGGTGCACTTGGCGACTTTGAGCCTTGTGGAACTCCAACTGAACGCCAAACACCCACTGGTGCACTTCGGCTTCCATCAAGCAATCCTCCTTCAATATCGCCAGCTATTCTTACTGGTATAGACTCTTTCTTCTTTGGTTCAAGATTTCCAGATATCTTACCTGACAAGACACTTGCGTCACTAAGAACCTGATCAAAGACTGAAAGAGCAATTGCCCGGTTGAGTCCGAGTGGTACCCCGTCGCTGCCAGACAACACTACATGCCTTATCCTGCACATAGCAGCCTGAAGAATAAGGCATTCAACATCTGTTGCCAGCACAGTCCTCAAAGGAAACAGGAAGCAGAATGCCCCAGATTCATATTCAGTTTTCCTTGCATGGAGAGATGTCATCATGCTTGATGAACCAAATCCTGAAGCAGAAAATGCTGTCTCCCCTTTAGACGAAACAATACCATTGTTACCAAGAGGCAATCTCTTCCCAGATTGATCCACATTCTGAACAACCATGTAATACTTTCTTAACTCGAGGAGCAGGTCACGCTTTGTCAAACCATCATTTACTTTGCCAGGGGTGTCTGCAATTTGATCTGAAGAACCCATGAGAGGAGAAGGTGGTGGTGTGGCCCCATACGAATAAACAGCAGAGTTTTTCTGATAACTATCAACTTTTCCAGAATTTGGACAGTAATGATATCCTGTAGAAGTAGCAGAAGACATGGTAGATGAGGGAGATTCAACAGCCATATATTCTGGAGCAAATATCAACATGGCTTCCGCTTTTGACAATAAATCTAGCTCCCCAGCTGAATGTCCAGAAGATATGCTGACTGCCCCAGATGACTGGATTTCATTCATGGGCTCATGAACTCGGCTAGTAGCATCGTCCTTGACAGCAGTAGGTGGTTGATTGAAGCCCTCAAGAGATGAAAAGTCTAGCACTGGCAGAAGCATTTGATCTGATACATCTAGGCCACCTGTACCAGGGGTACCAGCAATATCTCCAGGATCGGCAACTGGAAACATAAGGGCCTGAGATTCTGCAGTGCCTGGGGGCTTCACAAGAAGCGGGATAGATTAATTTCAGAAATAAGGGGATGATGAATCTACAGCTACCATAATCTCACTATCAACAATTAAAAAAAATCACTATCACCAATTGAAAAATGCAAAAACTGAATTATGGAAATAATAGTAGGGGAGTTAGAACTATATTATCCATCAGCTCCACTGAAGGGGGGCGGGGTGCAGAAAAGAAAAAACAAGCACTATTATCCATTAGCCATCAAGTCTTCTTGATGAGATTCTTTGTTACAGAGGTTTGATGACCTCCCCAAACATTTCTTTTAATTCACCAAAATAAATTATATTCGTGGTACTCATAATGCAAATATAGTCAATTCCACATGAGCAAGAAATCAGATTTAACATCAACGGAGTTTAACCTTCCCAGAGAAAAGGAAAAAATAAATAAATCAATCAATTGAGTTCATTGTCTGATGCCACCATACTGAACTGAGACACCATACTGAACAGAGATAATCAGCATATTTGTACCCAGATCAATCAGAGGAAATAACTAGTACGTCAACTAAGTTAAATTCATTCAAATTAGGTCAGATTAGTGCCAGTTTGCATGAAATCAAAGAGAGAAATCTAGAAACAAATGGCATCAAAGTGACAAGAGCCAATATTGCAACAGCTCAAGAGAATACTAAAAAATACCGCTACAAAAACTTCACCAAAGTGAAATTCAGCAATGATTTTATGTTTTCCATTTATATTTTGAGAAGGTGAAACTTCCGAAAGGGTTTAAGACTTTCTAGAGAAAAAGGAAGAGAAGGTTAATCCCCGCATTAATGCATACGTCAATCAGCATTTTCAGGTTTTGCAGTTGGTAAAAGCCGACTATCTGCATCATCAAAGGATGACAAAAACACTTTCACTTGAACTGTGACAGGGTCTCTATTTGAAATAAAATCTAGCAGTGACAATTTTAAAATCTGATGTGAGTTTCACATGATTATGAATGATAATTATGATTTGCCCAGGTAAGGGGTTAAACCATATTTCTGTCTACAACAACAGCAAATCAGAAATCTTACTTGAAAATTTCGCAAATTATCCTTTACTAACCGTCGATTGTAGAATTGTATATCAGAAGAAGCAATAATGCTGGAACTTTCCAGTATGTATTGCAAAAGAATATGCACCCATAATTAGAATATGTCATCTAAAACACTCGTGTTAAGCAGAACAAAAAAAAAATTCCATGTGAAATGGAGTCATCCTTCATAACCCAAATCCACTGAGAAAAGTCTAACAATACCGCAAGGGTAAAGAATTGTTTGTGATTGGTCACAAATGGAGTGTAGGCATAGGATGTCAAGTATAAGGTAACAGTGAGATAAGCTGAACAGCTCAGTAACATTAACCACAATATAAACTAAATTCATCCTTATGCAGATATATCAATGGCAAAGCGAAAATTTAAGTCAATTAGAATACCTTATCTCATAAGGTGAAAGCAGCACATATTTCATATTAGACAACTTTTAAGTGATAATTTTCAAGAACAAAAGCAACCTCAAAAAAGTCAGCTTTTTGAGAACAACAAAAGGACAAGTAGAAAAATCTCTAAATAATCAATGATATCAGTAGCAGAACACACCACAGCATCTCATTTAGTACATCAATGTGGTTTGCTAGGAGACTTAAGAAACTTTTGATTCAAAAACCAAGAAGCATAAACCAAACTGAATCTGAGAATGTAAATGATATGCAGGGCATCTGCAAAGAAAATACCTCGCCAAAGTCCAAAACATCATTAACAAACAAGTCTCCAAGATCACCATACTCTGCAAGAAGTGTTTGAATGTCCATTCCCACACCTCTGTCATCATCACCCCAATCCCAAGGATTCACAATTCTATCTTTTACTGCACCTGCAGTTGAAATAGCATGTGCATCAATAGAACTGTAAACATCGGTAATAGATCCACCATCCCCAGCAGCTAAGGTTTGGGCTGTTGACTCATTTCCTTTACGTGCACTTTTCACTGGACCTAATCCTTGACCAAATGAGTCCGTTATTTCTGAATGGGCACGCTTTGAAGCCTATGTTATGAGCATAAACTTAAGTCAGCCAATGAACAATTAAGTTAAAAGAGGACATGGGAACAACAAAATACAAAATGGAATACTCTATTGCTACTAGTACAAAGGGAGAAATAAATAATAAAATAGAAACAAAATTATTATTCAAAATGAAAACATTTTTTTCCTGAGCCTCCACGGCTAGGAAGAAAACCTAAGTTAACAAGTGTTATATTTCTTAATGGTACAAAAACAGAGAAGGAGAAGAATACTGTAAATAAAGAAAACAAGAGTCGCCAGATATCGACATCACAATATAAAATATAACTACAACAACATACACAGCTTCATTGCATTTACATGCTGATAGTAGACATCATTCCATTAGCTGATAGTAGCAAAAACTCATTATCTAATAATTGTTATGGAGAGAGAGATAACAACAGCATAGATCTGCAGAATGATCAGCAGAAAAACATTTTAGTCACACAACCATGAAAATGTCTTTATTATTTTCAATTCCATTAAAACAGCCTTGTGTTTCATTTGAAAATATCGATACTTATCGTGAACGATAATACATACAATCCAGCACGCCATGCAAGACACAAATTAGAGAGCCACCTCCGAAGACAAAATCGAATAACATCCGGCGCCAAACTGCAACTTCCTGATGTGTCACTACCCAAGCCTTGTGCTTTTATAATTCAAAGCATCGTTTGTTTTGTATAACTTTCCCCTCCTCTAGCATCAAAAGAAAAAGTCCAGAAGCTTATATGAGATGGGAAGCCAAAAATGGCCTCTAGGATAATGATAGCCAATAAAAAAAATATTGACATCAGCAATTCAGACATATCTGTCCATCCCAAAGAATCTAGAACTCCAAAAGAACACATGAATTCAGCTTCAGCCACTTAATATGTAGCACTTTCCTCCATATAACTAACATTATTATGCTCCTGATCCATTCATGTAACTCCAAAAGACCAAAAAAGAATCAGGGAGTTTGCTAGATGACAAGTTTCCCACTTACAGGATAACTAGCTCGCCACTTTCTCCCACTGTAAAAGAGATTGAGACAATGTCTATTAGGTCTCGATCTCGCTAGTTACAAGGGAAGCCTTTGTAATGGAACATTGTATTCCCTCTAGTTTGTACTTTTATATCTCTCCTTCATAAATTCGCACCACATATTTTACAAGAGTTGCATACATACTGGAGAACAAGAGTCCATGTTTTCTGCATTTCAGTGTCAATGTATCCAAAGGGTCAACATACTAGAAGGAAGTTATCCCAACCTCTCCATGGGATGTCCCAAAAGTAATGCATCATAAACTGGGAACAGTTGGTCCAATGGGACAAAAATAATACAATTATTACTCAGTGAATGCAAAATTGAAACAAAGGATACAACACTATCTCTTGAAACTCTTATGTTTGTGACCTTATCAGCATGGCAACAAAGACACATGCGCCAGACATGTTAGGCATATCTGACACCAGCAATTATCTAACAGTCTTGCCAGCAATTCTAACACACCAGCTGACAGTTCTAGGAATGTAGCCAGGTGTGTCTCGAATTTGATTCATGTGAGAATGGGAATATTTTGAATTTTTTGACAGATTTTGACCACAAAATGAATAGAATCACAGAGTCCATGACAAGGAACAGGAGTACCCAGCAGGTTCACAGCAGTAAAATTACCTGAGGTTTTCATTAACTTTCTTCAAAAAATTGCACTGAAAATTGTTCTTTTGTAGATTCAGTTTAGGACAAGGTGAGCGTCACCGCACTGGAGTGTTTAAACCAATGTTCCAAAAGTCAAACTCAGTCCCTGATTCAGTTGTGGACAGTGTTCAACAACTGGGACTCACTCTAGAAACTGGCATGTGCCAGGGGCAAGTAAGTTCACCAAGTCCCAAGTCAGCACAAGTCTTTCACCACATCCGTGATGAAAATGAAAAAAAAAAAAAGCAAAAACAGTAAAAAAGAGGAAAATCTGAAAGAAAGGCAAAACATCTTGACATGACTAAAGCCTCTATAAGTTTTTATGAAAATAGCCTCAAAATGGTTTTTTTGGGACATTGAGGAAAAAAATACTTCCACTGATATCAGAAAAAATTTCCTAGATCAAGAAAGAAATAAGTGGATCATGGAAAGGAAATCCGTAGATAGAGTATTAAGTTTTTAAAAGGAAAATAACATAAATAAGATGAGACGATAAATTAAAACAAATACCCAAGAACCAAATGTTGCAAAGAGTTGCGGTATTACAGACCCATTCCTATTGTTTTTATTGATTTTAGGGTTCCAAGGTTGGAGCATGAAACAAAGAGCTTCGGTCCCCCACCCACCCCCGCTCCCCCTCATCCTCCTCTTCTTCTTTCCTTATCCTTCTCTCTTTTATCATTCAAAACTACAGAATTTAACACTAAAAAATTTGACGGCTAGACACAGAACTTTGCTTTCCCTTTTAGTTGGATAGTATGATGCTTCCCAACTCCCCCAAAACTAAAAAATTAGGGAATTATGAAATGTATTGATTCTCCATTTTAGGAGGATCATACAACCTGAATAAAAGCAGTCACAATAGATATTTAATTTCCATTTTAGGGGGAATTATAGAGCAGGAATCACTGGCTCTTTGCCGTGTCTCGGTCTATACAGTGACTCCAGCAGGTTTGTTCAAGAAAGGGGCCTCCATACTTGCAATTCACTCCCTACCCCGTATTTGACAGTAGATATGTCAATTGAGGTTACATCCTTAAGTAGCTTGGTCCATCTTAAGTCTAAGGACCCGCATAGCTTATTTTAGCCATTCCTCTCTTTCTAAATCAATGTTGGCGATAGGAGATAACCCTCTTCGACTATTCCTCAAACACTTAGCACACCCCTGAGGTAGGTGGTTCCATCTTCCTCAGGAACTGTGGTAAGGAGTGTCATTCCAGTGTTAGCTTTAGTGTCTACACGACTGCCCTAGCAGACAATATAGTCAATAGTATATCTTCCTTAGCTTAGAAAGGCATCCCTTTCAGCCCCGCTCTCCGGCTTATGAGGAACTTTGGTGATGCTGAGCCTGGGGCTTTTTGCTGCTGCGAACCTTGCTAATAGTTTGACACTGGAATGCAGAACATATCGTGGAAAGGTGAATATTAAATTCAAAGGGCCTCCTCCCATCAAGACAAGGCAGTTACTGGATTCTTTGGACTTCGAACTAGTCCCTACTCGCCCATTTGGGTGTTGTAACATTGAAAATTGGAGGTGATCATCTGGTTTTAGTTATTAATTAGAAAACATTCAGTCAGCCACCAAAAGAAGGTGCATCAAGTATCGCTGTAAAGCTATCTTCATGCTATAGGCTTGGAAGGCCCTTGTAGTCCGAACTTCCCAAGTGGGACAGGGGAAGAAATTCTTTAGGTCAACTTCCTGGAATCAGCATTCTAACAACTTCTCGTAGAATCATGAAATCCGGCATTGATACGCTTGAGCATGATGCACGATGCACCTCTTTCAATCTCCTCTCATCTAGCAGCTGTAGTTGGGCTAGACGTCTTTTAGCATTTATGTTATTCAACTTCTGGAAGCTGCCCCTCGACTAAGAATTCGAATGAGTGATGAGCAAGCCTCCCCGTCAAAGCACTCATTAGCACTCTAAAGTGAGTGCTTTGATGTGTATGTTCTGCCCATGCTACATCGTCAAAGCAGCCACTCTTAGCTTTTGGGCAAACAAGAACTTCGAAAATTTATAATCTTGATTCACCAGCAAATGAGCTCTACTTAATACTGCTAATTCTTCTCACCCACAATAGCGCTTGATCGTCACTTATCTAATGTCACTCAATAGTCCGACTAGTGAGTTGCTCCATATCTCTTTAACTAATAACTCCTTTTCCATCAACTGCAGCCACTAGAATTCCTAATTAGTTGTTTTTTTGTGCCACGGCTCTGAGGTGCTCCCATATGCCAGCTTTTTGCTTTAAAAAGTGTTTCAAAACAACCCCAATTTCTTAAAAGTTTTGCTAATCAAATTCCATAGGGTGGGCCTTTGGTCCACCATCTTTTTCTTTAATGAGGTGTAACCACCTTTTTACGTGGTCACCTTACAACCCTTTCTTGTAAAATTGACACCTTCTCATGAGGTGTTACAATTTATTTGCCTCTCTCTCTCTTTTAAGCGAACGCTCCCACTAACCTGTTGAACACAAGCAACAGAGAGCTCTCCCTACGGGGTTACTTCAGAGCATCCTGTCAATTACAGGAAGCAAAGCAGTAAGCTAAGCGCTCTCTCTCGTTATGGGTTTTTTATCTCTCTCTCTCATAAGTAGCACTAGCCTCACGCGATTTTCAGGTAATAAGTACTGTTACCAATGATTTATTTTAAGGTGTAGGATGATCTGCTTCTATTTCTCAATCGATGTTAAATTCTTGCCATTTTACCGATTGGAAGACTAATTTTTTGTGTGAGAGAAGATGTTCCCAATTGATGTTTTATTGTAATGTACCGATTGGATGATATGCTTTGTAATGAGAGTAAGAAGTTTGTCATCCTAATCGATGTTTGAATTGTATCGATTAGATGATAATTTTTGTAGTGAGAGATGTATGTTTCCAATTGATGTTTGTGGTATCGTAACAATTGGAAAGACATATCAGTATTTTAGTGACTGTGGTTTTGTACGGATCTCATGAGTGTGCAACTGAGGGACTCAAGAATTATTTTCCAATCCAGTTGTATCCTGGGAGTGTACTCACTGAGACCCGTTTGCACCTCGAAATTTTACCGAGACGGGGGCGTTTAACACTTCGAAGAAGGCGAGAGTATCTCATGCCTCCAGATCCCTTGTTTCTGGGTCCCATTTTTGGGAGTTCATATCCACTATGATGTTTTGTAAACCGCAATGAGACACCAATTAACCAACAATTTTGAAGTGTTAAACTTGGTGATGTCTTTTGATGACTTGTTAAAATATACAAACAAGGATTGTGTAAGGCCAGATTTTGGATTTGCACTGATGCTTTG